ACTTCCTGGAAATTTCACAGACAAAACTGCTGACAATGAACTTCAGATCAAGTTGCTTAGCTGCTTGCCTAATTTGAGCCAAGAGTAGGAAACCATACACTGAAGAATGAAGCACTGCCCCCTCAGAGGGGTCTTTCTGTGGAAAAGTCTGTATTGTAATATACTTCCAGTAGGAGATTGACTGTCATTTCCTGCCTTGTCAGGGCTTAATTTTGCAATTGTTGAATTTTATGAGCGCTGTGAAACTGGGAAATAGTCTGAAACTTTATAAAGAAAGGGTAAAACATACTCAGGAGAATAATTTTATAATAATTTATGTTTTATACAATGGAGTTTTTTTTTTTCAGATACTTTCTTTTCATTTATCTAATTTCACTTGTTTTCTCATTTAAGTTTGGACACCATGTGCAATAACCTTTTTTTTTTTTTCATTTGGTGCCTTTCACAATTGGTTGTTCTGAACCTTTCTCCCTTCAAACCTTTTAACTACCCAACAGTTGCAGTATTCCTTTCCTGACGGAGACAGCACAGTTTCTGTTCTGCAGTGTTGAGCAATCTCACTGCAGAAGAATATCAAGAGAACACCTCTCTTTGAAGAGAAGATGAAAGTAGCAAAGGGAAGAAGTGAGAGAAAGATGAGGCAACTGGTGTCCTCCACAGACTGGGTCCTTCTCAGTGTGCTTGGAAGCTAAGGCAACAGTGCCAGGCAGTGAAATACTGCAGTCTTAGGCAGGTCCCCCACCTCCCTAATGATTGCTGACTCTGTAAAAACAGAGGTGCACTGGCCTTGCTAGCTGCTGACCTTGTGTCCCTTTGTCTGAACAACTGATTTGCAGTTTGATATTTGTCTGCATTTCAACTGATTCTCAAATTGCTTTGAATTTTTCGTGTCACTAATTAGAAAGTGTATGCACTGAAGCATAAGGTGAAAATTTCATCTTTAGCAGTTACTTGGAGACTTTCAATAGTTCTCTTTAGTAGCTCTCAGTATGAGCATGATCATCCCATTATAAAGAGCCCTGGCAGGTTACAATAGTTACTGTCTATAATTCATGCCTGCCAAGCCTGTTCACTTACCAGCAGGCAACTTTTCAATGAGAGATTTAACAAGTCTCACCATTAGGCAGCATCTTATTGGTTCCCTCATTATAGCAAGACCGGATTTCCTTCATTAGCTAGAAGACTTTCGCATGAGGTAAAAATATCCAAGAACTGGCACTGACTTCAGACTTTCTAAACTGGCTTTCAAGCCTGTCCAATTAGAATTGGTTAGGTTGCATAGTGGAAGAAAAAAAATAAGAAGAAATTTTAAAAATCCCTAAACAATTGAAAAAAAACAACCAAACAAAATCCTCCTCCAACTAATTGAAATCCAGCACTTGCTTTTTTCATTTACTGTTGTGGGTTCTACATGTTATCCCATGAATGTAGCGAATGTAAAGAAAGTATTTGCTGAGAGTACTTTTGTCCTGACAAGGTTTTGTACAAAAACTTTACTTGTAGGTAGAAAAAAAAAAGCCACAAATTTTCCCCTTATGTATGGCAAGTTGATTCCTATCGTACTGATCCAAAGTAAATATAATATAACTAGGTTGCTGTTCCACCTTGTGTTTTCTTGTGGTGATTTTTGCAGGTATGACAAGGCAAGCATTGCAGATCCTGAGTTCTGGTCCCTGTTTTCTTTTTTTATGTACTGCTGCATTATACACAAATGAACACGGAGTAGACCAGAAATAACATGTTCAATTTTTCAAGGACAGTCTATTCTGGACCAGGATCCTATGCTAGAATTTAGTATAGGATATCAACTGTGGGCTTAGTACTTCCTTACAAAGAAAGAAACAACTATAGAGAATGAAAAGTTTAATTAAGCATTTAAACAACATATAAGAAGAAATTTAATAATGGATTATCATCATCAGGACATCACTGTTTCCAACCTGCTTTAGACATACTGGGATTCAATGACAGAATCCATGTGAACCAAGAATACTGTTGAAAGGATCCCCAAGGCCCATCAGGGGGATCGATACATCCTAAGACTAATGTATCTTGGGGTGCAATCAACTGTATAAATATACTCAGTATCTGACCACTATTCCAAGCAAACCTTGCTATACATTTAGAATGTTGCTCCTTTGGTGCTCCACTGCTTATAGATGTCTGAGAAGGAGGATTTCCAGGAAAAAAAAAAGAGTGCAGTGAATTCAGTAAGTATTGCTTGTATGGAACTGGGTAAGCTTGCACATCACTTTCTTAAGAATCTCCCACACTTTATAAGGCCTTATGATATTCACCAAGAGGACTGAAGGCAGTTTAGGAGGCTTCTATGTGTTTAATTATCTGTGATGTTAAAGAGGTAATACCCCGAGCTTCCTTACACTGGAAATATTGTAGGAAATACCATCAGAAAACTAGCAAAATCAGTAAACTCTTTAAAAAATATTGGCAAACAGGGAGGATTGCCAAAGCAGCATATATTAGTTGGACTTCATTTTGTTGAAAAAGGTTGAAATAGCTACACTGACTAAGCCTAAAGCATAAGTTGTGTGGTAAATAAAGTTGAATAAAACACTAGAGTTGTTGTCTTGCTTCATTATGTGCTTCAACAATAAATGAAGAAAAACCACTCCCTTCTTTTTACTGATATGCTTGAATTTATTTTATTTTTGTTCATGACTACCCGTGGTTGTATTAGGCAGGGCTGGTAGATGATCCTCTTGTTTCTATCATATTCTTTGGCTTAATTTGTCTCTCTCACAGAAATTATTTTTTGCAATTTACAGAGCATGATTTGTGGGTTTTCATGGAGGGCTCAGGACTCTGGATATTCTTGTGAACACACTCCTGTGAAATACCATTTATTTCATAATCTTGAGACTGACTTTTGGCATTAGTCTTTTCTCACTTTTTAATGATCTTTTCAAATTCTACTCAAATACATATTAGCAAATATTCAGATGCTAAAGTAATTGGAAATATATAAGGTTCTCACAGTATTTGACCCACAAACTTATCTTAAATAATAAAATAAACAATAGTAGACCGTTTATATGAATGCTGCTCAAAATGTCTAATTTAGTTTGTAGATTTTGTGTGTATGTATCTGTAAACAATGAACAATAACTTCAGTGGAAAACTATAAATAAAAAATATGGTATTTTCAAGATGGGCAAATTTTAAATTTAATTTTATATTTGTGACCAGGCTATCATTGTGCAGATATTCATAAACATGCATGTCAGTAAAATTCCATATTCCATACTCCTGGAATATTTAAGACTTCATTAATTCATACTTCTCTATTTGGTTACACCTTAATGGTCCTCTGTTTAATATTAGGTTATAGAAATTGTGTAATATGAATAAATTGGGCAAGGAATTCATAGCCAGAATATTGGTCTTTCTTTTCGTCATACCCACTAATATTCCCAGTAACCTGAGACAGATGACATTTTCAGTTGAATTGCTAAGGCTACATCCTTGCTTAGTCTTCTTTATTTATTTATTTCCTTGCTTTGCCTCCTGAACAGAGAAAACAATGCCTAAATTTAAATTAGTGGTTTGAATTTTAACTTGAACTACTTTCTGATATGATACATTCTAATTACCAACTGCAGTGTCATAAGTTTCCAGAACCAATTCAGGTGAAGCTGGATAGTTTTATACCTTGCCAAGGCCTGGTGCTGCAGCTTTAAATTATTGTATTCTACTGATTTGCTATTTAAAGGTACTTTAATTTCCCTGCTGGCAGGGAATGATGAAGGCAGGAAGCTTTTAGGTCCTTGTAATTAAGATGCATTGGTACAGCTGAGTTAATCTGTTTGTCCCTACGTAAGCTCTGGTTTTGGACGTACTTTTATTTCAATGTTATTCACTTTTTGTCCTCTCTAACACTGTGGTTTATGAGTGTATGATGAATCCTTGCACATTTTTATTTGATATAGCTGAAACTTATGTGGCCTACCTTTGTTCTTAAGACAGGTTGCTATACAAAGGTGGTTGAGAAATCTGAAAATGGAAGAGTTAGGTTCTATGTTGTATCATAATATTATATTTTTTTCAGAAGAAGTTATTCTTGTTTCACTATCCTGGCATAACTTTCAATAAAAAGCTTGGAGGACCTGTCACGTGCAGGTATGAAACACAATGTTCAGAGATCGACTGCAAAAACTTAGCATGGCAAGGTTCCTTCTTTATGAATATGTTAAGGCATGTAGAAATCCAATCTAAAATGTCTCATTAGTTCTGTTCGTAGAATAGTTTATGATCTTGTTTACCACAGAGAATGAAGAGGTTGCTTGTAAAGTTTGGCCTAATAAAATTCTGATGAATTCTAGTGATGAAAAATTACTTTATATTTACTACTAAATCCTCCTGATTTCCACACAGGATTGCAAAAAAATCCTGTGAGAAAGCAGCTGGGGAAAAAAAATAAATTGACCTGCAGCACGCAAAAACTACAATGTAAACTAATTCCTGGAATGTTACAATTTCCCCAGATATTAACAGTTTATTGTTAGATACTCCCTGGAATGTCACTGGTCCCACCATCTCAAAAGGATCTCCTACTTTAGATTTGGTTTGGACAAAGATACAAGTAGTATGATGCACTTGTCCATATTTCCAGGGAATTTTAAATTCACATCAGTTTGCCAACTGTTTAAAAGTAGTTAATATTTTTAACGACAGAATTCAATATGTGCCTTGGCTTTTAATTTGTGAGCAAAACATACCATTTACTTGAGGGAAACATGAATTCTCCCAAATCAAAACAGAGGATTTAGATAAATGTTAAATACTTTCAGTGCCACCTATTGGCTGAGAAATTGTTTCAAATAAACATCAGATTTATAATTGTGGAAAAAGTGATATAGGGCTACCTATAGTAATATTTCTAATTTTTATTGAAGGTAAAGCCAGCATCAAGGTCTACAATCATATTTGAAGGCATTATCTCATCTCAAAGAATTTAATCTCTAACCACTTTTTCCTTACAGAAAACAACACATGAACGAATCCTGTGGGATGCTTCAGACGTACTATGGTTCTAAAGCATTTAGTGAATAGGTAAGGTGGTGGGAGACATAAGAAGAAGTCAGGAAGGGATTAAAATTTGTCTTTTTAGCCTGACAATGTTGGGGAGTTTTTATCTGAATATATGATATAATCAGTTTAGCTACAATCACCTTCCTCTTTGTAAAATTTCAAGCTGAAGATGCTCTTCACTTCCAGATTCTGTTTCTGGAATATATTGAATTCTGCACCATCTCTCAGCACTTAAGCATGTCCTTAACTTTCCACATTCACATCAGGACCACGTGGAATACCATTCAATTCACTGGAATTACACACATGGTTAAAGGCAATCTCATTATTGTTTTCTAAAGCAAAGCAAAGTTTGCCAATTTGCATGAACAAGGCTTATATATTTTATGTTCTCTAAAATGTGCATGCTTCTTAACTCTCCTAATGACTTTGAGTTTAGGATTTTGGGTAAACTATTTAGAGACTGTGTTTATACAGAGAAGGCTTATTTATTGCATTGATGGTTAGGAAGCTTGATATTTCATTGCAGAACTTATAATTGAAGATTACAATTATTCCTTAGTTCTAGAAATACTAATCTTTCAGTATGATTTATAATTTTTTTCATCTGTTTTCTGAGTTTTTTTGTTTGCCTCCTGGATAAATTATGCCACAGTAAAGAGATGAAATTACACCTAATAATCTCAAAGAACCTAACTGCTTTGAAAATTGGGCTTGATTATAGTGCCCTGTGTTAGAAAGGGACATAGTATCCCTTACAGTTCTTTGCTCATATTTTACTTTCACCTTTTTTAAGAAGATGTGAGATTTTTGTTATTTAATTGAAGAATGTATTCAAGGTAAGATATTTTTTTAACCAGGGAAACAAAAAAGAAAAGCTCTTAGAGTGACAGAGAATCAGCTTATCTCTTTGATAAACTAGATATTTTAGATTAGATATAGGGGAAAAGAGCAGAGCTACACCTATGACAGGAGAATCCAACCCCTATAAACTGAGAATGACCAGTCCTATCCTGGGAAAATTTATCTTAAAATCTCTTTAACTACCTGAAAGTTCACAGTCTATCCAAGCTGGTTCTATAAGTTCCTTCTTAAGGAAGGTCAAAGGCAACCTCTCCAGGTTGGCAGCTAAGAAAGAAATTCTAGTTATTACACAATGAACCGGAATAGTAAAGTATCTTTACAAGGTGCTTGTTCCATATCATGAACTATACAAGGAGTGCAGCTGACCTTAAATTTAACACTTAAACTTTTTGGAGACTGACATTTTGGATGGCTTCTACTCTTACTGTCAACCCCTTCGACTTTGAATATGTCCTTTGTGAGCATTTCCAATTATCTCAGTTTCTTGGGAAAAAAAAAAAAAAAAAAGAAAAGAAAAAGAAAAAATGCCACGTCTATGTTACAAAAATAATCTTGAGATAGTGTCCCCAGAAGCAGGCAGGGCAGGACTTTCGTAACTGAGATCATAGAAGTGGCCCTGCCTGTGGAGGTCCACACTGTCTGGCCCATGGGCAGCCTCCACCACTCCTGTCATCATAGTGCACTGCCACTGTCAACATTTTAGTACTGATTTAACCAGTCCTTTCAGGTCTTTTCTACTCCTGGCCTTCATTTTTGCTTCTCCTTTCCCCTTATGCTCTTCCTGAATCAGGCTGCCCTTTTTTGGCTCTGAAATGCAGCAAAGCAGCCTGAAGGCTATGAACTTTAGACCAGACTCAGAAGCCATGACAGAGGCTGAGTCGACAAAATTACTCAAAGTCCGAAACACATTTTAAAAAAACAAAACAAAACAAAACAAAACCCAACAAACCTGTCCCATAGGATTTGAAATAAATTAGGTTTTTAATGAATGACAACACAATCCTTGTACAAAGGCGAAAAATCTCAGAATGGGAGCAGTGCTTTTTTTCAGACTAACACTGTGAAGATAACATAAGCTCCGGTGCTAAATTATATCAACTACAGTGGAATGTCAGGATAAAAAAAAGAAAATTTTGGGTTTATATTGTTGAAGATTCATATCTGTGGAATACCTTTGTAAGACTCCTATGATTCCATGCTTTTTAGGTCCCAATTAATACTGAAATAGTTCTGTGGCTCCTTTTACTAAAAACTAAAATTCTTAGTCACAGCCTGGTACTTGTATTTTATGCAGACCAGTTTTACAATGTCATAGAATTGTTGAATCATAGAAGCACAGAATAGCCTGCGTTATAACAGACCTTAAAGATCATTCATTTCCAACCCCTCTTGCCATTGGCCAGTCTATCACTGTTTATTAAGTAGAGAAAATTATTTTTATATTTATTCCCGAACGTTTTATAAGAGTTGAGTTGGAACTCCAAGCTTTCAGAAATTGGTAAGTGCAATAAGAGTTGAACTCAACTTATCTTGAGAGGATTTTTTCTTCAGTTGAGATTTTTTTAAAAGAAACTAGATTTGGGGGTTTAGATGAGTATATTATAACTTTATTTCTGTCTAAAGTCAGCTGAGACCAATTCTCTTTGTTGAGAAATCAAATAATTTATTTGCTTTAGCTTAATACATTGCAGTGTTTGTAGTCCAAAATTATGTTCTCTGAATACTCTTCATGTGATATTGTTGGCTTTTTAAGTACATCCTGAAAAGAGATGAGAAAAAAGAAAAATCTTAGCTGTCCTTAAGAAAACAACTAATAACACAGTTTCATGGTAATCTAAAAAAAAATACTTACTACAACTTAAGAAGATTACTTCAGGAAAAAAATCAAATGCATGAGTATGTTTCTGGACAGCTTGATTCTTATGTCTCACAGCTGTGTCACATTCTTGTGTACAGATTTATGCTATAGAATTTCAAAATAAGCAAGGTTCCAGACCAAGTATTTACCACAGAATGATGCATTCAGACAGTGGCACATTTCCTTTAATTCTTGTTTAAAAAGGCTTCTCAGCCTTCTTCTGGCTACCACCAGAGAGACTGTGCTTATTGCTGAAGTGTCAGGTTACTTAGTATGTGTACCTCACAGTGCCATTAGGATGATGTACCATTTGCTATGCCCAGGAGCTCTTTGAAGTAGGAATTATTTGGTTATTTAAATAATAGCTTGTTTTTCTGTGTAAGATTATTTATAATGACTGTTCACTAGAAAAAAAAGAAAAATCCCTGAACTCTTAGAGCTACTTAGACTGGTAGCTGGTTTAGTCAATTAACTTACAGCATCGCTTTACACTGTGGGACTGTTCTTATAGGACTTGAGTCTCTTTTATGCCCAATTCTGGACAGCAAAACAGTTATTTTTTTACTTTATTATGGCACACATTACCTATGAAAATTCTCACAAAAATTGCTGATGAAAATATACTCTTCTCAGGTCTTTTTTAAAATATATCTTGGTGTATTGGTTTAGCAGCTGAAAAGGACATAAAAAGTCAGCAAAAGTAAAAGCAAGCCCTAGGAAGGAAATAAATATATATTAAGCACAGATATTATTCTTACTTGAATATATGCATCATAATTTCTACTCTTTTTAGTGTTTGCTCTATAAAATTCTAGCATTGCCCTGTCATTAATTCAAAGAAAATCAATGAAAATAACTTCAAGACAAATAGCAATATCATTGCACTTGACCATAAGACCAAATTCATATTATTAAATTTTAAGTGCTTTAAAGTTAAATATCTCATTTAAACTTCTCAATGCTTCATTCGACTCTGTGCTCTTTTAGAGAGCGATTCAGCCATAAATTGAGTGAACTGACATCTGGAAGTAACTGTCTGTCTCTTATTTGTGTTTGCCTCTCTCAGCTATGGTTAGGTGATATTAGTTATTATTTCCATCCTGCCATTACTCTCCTTAAGGTCACTAGCATTTTTAATATTTTCCATTGGAAAAAAACTTTCTAATATAATCAGGAGTTTAGACGAGAGCTTTATTCCAATGTAAAGGTGAAAGAAAGTCAGAAAGGGCTATATATTCACATTTTTATTGAATAATTGAAAATTTAAAAAAACTCTATTTTAATAGAATTATGTCAAAAAGATGTAATTATATTTACTGTTCTTCTCTAATTGAAAATTCAACCCCTTGTTCACTAATTCCTCCACCTAAATAGATCCGTAAAGACATATTTGGGAATCAGATTTTATCTAGGAGCTTTCACTACGAAAGCTGTGATGATTAGTAAAGAACAGCTCGACTCAAATTTTCAAATTTTGCATTGCTTTGTAATAGAAGAAGATGTGTTCTATACTTGCACATATACTTTGTCATTATTTAATCAACCAAACTAAATTTAAGAAAAATATTTTAAATTTCATTATGCATTGTTTGGACCTGAAAAGGCATTTGATCATCATAACTGAATAATGGATACTAGCTATAGTGGTAATCAAAACAAACATAGCTCATTTTTATATAGCATCTTTTAATGGTCCTTTTCCAAGTTATATAATCCATATACAAACTGAGCTTGAATAAAGGACTAAGGTTAAACAGCCAAACCTTCAGCAATCAGTGATGGTGAAGTCAAGAGTTTTCTTCCAGACATATGTCTTCAAAGAATATGGGACCTCTCTAACATTAAAAGGCTGAATATTAGGTTATGTGAACATTAAATATTTCTTGCCTCAGTTCTCTACAATGTCTAAAATTGTATTGTTTGAAAAGATTTAAAAGTTTAACTTGTTCACTCCCACTCCATAGGGTGCTTTAATGAACGCTTTCATGTATTCCTGAGTTGCTTTCCAGTGATAAGTGTGTGATTAGCATTAAACTGTTCTTGGCTTCTACACAAGCATGAAAGACACTGTTATATCAGTCTGCAAAAATATAGTTTTCCATTAGAAAAAATCTGGTTTACTTACGATATAATTACTTACGTTAGAAGTGTATTGTTCAGATTTTTTCTCTTTTTATTTCTGATTAAATTGCAATAGCAAAATACTCTATTTATGAATTGCATTGAAATGAACAAGTTTAAATTTTTCTATTTCAAAAAAATGTTGTATAAGAATTTTTTATATTTCATGTATTTTTAAATAATAAATAAAAAGATTACAGTAAAATTATTCATTTTTATTACCCAGAAACATGTTTTCTGATGTTCTGTAAATGCTCTGTAGCAGTTCCTTCCAGTACTATTTAAACTAGATAAAATGTTTCTTCCCTTATTTATGAGTTCCAGGGCAGGCAGTGGGAATGTTATGAGCTTCACTTGAGCCAGGCTTTTCTAAATAGGTTGTTGAATTTTTTGTCTCAGTTGCAAAGGTCAGATACCAAGTAACTATGCTATAGAAATGAATT